GTGATGGATTGTCTCTCAGTAAAAGACTGGAAATATTTCAAAAAGATTATGTGCAGCTCAGATAGAAACTGTAACCCTGATCTCATAAGAATGCCATGAAACTCTAGAAGCCCTTGGCTAGAGGTTAGATCAGATCAGCATCTCGTAAATTTTCAGGCTGGCAACCTCTCAATCAAAAGGGAACCAAGAAAAAACTCACAATCACTTTCAACTACTGTTAAAACAAGACCAGAAAAGTATTGCTTACTGTTTTCATTTTATAGATAGGAAATGAAAAATGAGCTACCTTTCTTGGTGTAATACAGCAATTCCACACCAGAGCTGGGCAGACGTCTACCTTTTTAGGGATAAAGACCAAGGACAAGGGTAGGAATTGTGAAACTCAGTAGAACTAACACAAAGAATGCAGGCAAGAACATGGAGTTATGTTCATCCAAAAAGGAGCTAGAGATGGGAGGAAGGACAACCAAAGGAAAGTCAGAAAATAGTAACAGCTGAAAAGAGTGCAGATGTAGGGATAGCAGGTCAGAAAGCAATATTCCAATGAACAGGTTGGGAAAATGTCAGAGTAAAGGTAATAGTAATCAGATAAAAATGATCAGCAAATCATTCAACCACCATAGAGCATCATCCCAACATTTCATTCTGGACCTCCAATGTGACAGACAAAGGCAACACCACTTTCACTCATCAATATATTCACTGTCAACAATCAGGAAACATGCGAGTTTCCTCTGAAAGTCAGAACAGTTCCCCTTTAAACCTCTTCCTTACATGGTTGACCAATTTCTTACACTGTAAGAAACAGTATAAACTCCTCTATAATACACTTCAAAATTTGAACTCTGTTCTTCAAAAATATTCTAAGAGTAAATGTTAAGGGCTCAACCTCGTCTTCCATTGTGCAGCATACGCACTGAACATTTTGCAAAAACACTTTCTGAGACTGCATTCAAAACTTCAAAGTGTTTTGTGCTGTATAATGAAAACAAGACCATATCATTTTTGCACAAACAAGGTAATTAGTACCTTGCATACACCCATAAAAAAAACATCATTAAATTATCCTAAATAACCTTGGAGCTGCCATGTACTAATTCTGCAGAGAAGATTTCCTCAAATCCTGAAAAATATATCATTTTTTAAAAGATGTATTTTAACTCGCACACCACATTATAGCATTCATAGATTAAATATTGATTCATTTCTACAACCCTCAAGACAGAACAGCAAAAGTATTCACCTTCTTCTATCCTTTTTCTGTATCTAAAACTCAATTCCTCAACTGTTCATTCTTCCACTTGTCAGGACTCTTTCAAGGGCTGCTCTGAAAGTAACGCCTCCTATGTTATTATGTTGGCCTATGATGTCAGACATGGATGTTGGAGGTATGGCAGTTGAGGTTGAACCCTCCCACCAATGTTCCACTGCACTTTGTTGCTGTGTGACAGATGGCAGCAGTCAGGCAGAATAGCGCGCAGGAAGCAAAGTTGTATCACTGAATTCCTCCAAGTGGAAAAAATGGCATTCACTGACACTTCCTGAACATCTATGGAGACCAAACAGTGAATGTGAGCACAGTGAGGTGGTGGGTGATGCATTACAGCAGTGGCAACAGTAACATGAAAGAGGAGCCATGCAGACCGATGGCCGTGCAGATTTTTACCAGTGTGGCACATAGGCTCTTGTTCACTGCTGGCAAAAACGCATAGGCTAATGATAGTGGCCATGTTCAAAAATAGTTTTTCATAGCTCAGAATTTGCTATACCAAATAGATTTACTGTGCTCTTTGCACCTGTTGTAGTTTACATTGAAATAAGTAGGAGGCATTACTTACGGAGCGATCTATGCATTTGTTCATATTTTCCTTTGGACCTATGGATTGCATCTACAACCTCTTTTGACAAGTTTCACAAATCTACCACCTGCCTCAGTAGCTGCAATCTTTTTGTGCTCTCTGCAACTGCCTCCTGCCAACCTCACAGCATGGCCCTTTATTCTTCCCTGGAAGAGACAGTCAGCCCCTCCACTCCATATCGTTCACAGCTTAAAGAGTCACAACTGTCCAAGCATGAAAAGCTTTTGCTTACCTAATCATTCCCCACAGGAAAACTATTCCAGATTCAAAGATCCCTGCAAGAAAAAGCTCTGCACATATGAAGAAAAGGTTTTGTGTACTGCAAACTGGATTAAAACTAAATATGTGACACAAAAACAGAAATGTATTTTATATTCAATATCCATAGAAACACAATTAAAAACCCTACAGCATATCTTTTCAGAATTAAGTAAAATCCAATGCCTTATCCACCCCTCATTTTAACTACTGTTTATAATGATATTATATTGGAAAATGTGGGTTTTTTAAAGACTTGAATTATTTTTCAGAAATGAAATTCAAACAAGAGCTATTAGTTTAAAACCCTACATGATCATCTTCAAGTTCATAGTATGATATGGAAGAAAACTGCATATCTACAAGCTAAGTAGAACTTTTAAATGTGGAAATTGGTTATTCAAATGAGAAAAATCCCCATTTCTCATTCATTACCAGAATTCACATCAATTGGCAAACGATTCTACTGTCCCAGCATATTCAGAAGTCAGCAGAGTTCAGAGAAGTCGAAGTCAGTCAGACTCTTAAAAATGTTTGCCACTGGATGACAAAATGGTTCCCCCAGATTCTCCACAGTTCCTGATAACCATAAACACTGTAAAGATCTCAGAGAAGCCCACAACAGGCAACAGCAACCACAAATATCTGACAGCAAATAAGTACAGCAAAAAAAAAAAAAACAAAAAAACCTTGTCAAAGGACAGGCAAGTAGTCAAAACTGTCAGGACAAAGTGGTTCCTGTACAGAATCCTAGCTAGTTTACTACAATCTCAGATGACGATCAATAACTTGATATGCCAAGTGTCTGTGGAAAGGGATGTCAACAACACAAATTTACAAATGAGCCCAGGTCCCTCTGATAAAGCAACATTTTCCAAACCTAAATGCCCTCAGATGTGCCCTGTAGACAGAAACCTTAATGAAGTACACAATGCTCTGCAATGAGGACAGAAGCACACCAAGTAACATCCCTGAAGTTCTTTGCCTCAGAAAGTACAGGCACGTTTTCTGTATCAAAGCATTCTCACAATGAGCACTCCCTCAACAGCTGTAGACAATGCTTTTCTTTTTGTCACTCATTAGACCCCTCAGATAGACTTAATACTACTGTAAAATCTCGATTGTAGAAATACTGCAGTATTTTCATCTTCTATTCATCAGCCACACCATTGTCTCCAATCTTCCATTTTCCAGTAAAAGTAAGTAATTAAATATCAGCACTCAACTGTATTACAGGCAATAGTATATTCTTAAGCTTAGTGATCTTAGCATTCTCTTGAACTAGGAACAATGTACTTCACATTCAATTCAAATTTTCAAAAATATTTACAATCACAAATGTTAAAATTTTCTGTATTTTACATTTCGTTACACTAAATAAATTCAACTCTGCTATAGCATAATAAATTTTGCGAACTATTTTGTAGTGATACTATAGGATAGCTCAAGTTTTCAAGCAGTACTTCCTATTAACACAAGTTTCCTATGAACACTTGATGGAAAAAAATATACATTCTGTTGCAAAGGGATGCACACTTCAACATACTAATTTCCAATAAGATAGTTTTAAAAGAAATGCAACAGTGTAATGATAACCTATAAATCATGTTGAGTTGAAAGGACGTACATTGCTATTGTGAAAGATATTCTGAAACAGAAACAGCTACTACTGCCTGCTGTTACCTGGCATCCACAGTAAACTATCTGAAGTAATGATCGGAGTCCCACTGCTCTTCATTTATATTCAGAGAAAAGTTCTTGATTATACTTTTCCTTCTAAATTTTCAGTACCAGTAAGTCTGTAACTTACAGTATGAAGACACCATTACATACCTGAAACTGTGCATCAAAGGGTACGTGGGAAATCTAATGCACATGCCATGTTTAAATCTGTTTGCATATACCACCAGGAGAACACTGCCTGTAACCCACCATTTAAAGAGAACAAGAAACAAATGCCAAAGCATCCCTATAAAATATTCATGCAACACCCTCATCTAGCAACATCAATTACTTTATCTATCTCCTGCATCGTTAGTTGTAAGCCTAATAACACTACTCAGCAGGCAAAGGATTTAATGAAATAGACCCTGAGCTCCTGGGAGGATCACCTGTGGTTCCAACTCTAACACTTCTGATCAAATACCAGTTTCCTTCCTGCTGTTGAGCAATAGGCTTTCCTGGATCTTGATCAAACATGCCCCTAAGTAGGGAAGGTGTAATAATACAGTGTAAAATATTCAAGTGTATCAGGGAATAAATGATTGTAGTGAAAGGGAAGAAGAAACTATTTCAAAAATAAGAGAAATTGACAGCTTCTACTTTAGGTAACTTGAGCTGCAAAAACCAGTATACACCAATTATTTCAGCAAGATACAACACAATTAAACATATGTTAACCACCAAAAATTAACTACATGAACAAACACCAGATATTTCTTTACACTGTTAGAGGCTCCCATTTACTACAAATACTCTCAATTCTGTTCCCTATCTAAAGCAAAGACATCAAGATATAAATATTACAGAATAAACGCTTCTCAATGGCTTCCTAATGAAAGCAAGGCTCAAAATAAACAGCATTCAAAAAAGAAAAAAGAAACTCATCAGTGAAAGCTGCCAAGTTCTCTTCCCAGTGTTTCACTGACTAACAAGTCCAAGTGCTGTCTGCTTCCTGCTCCTTTCAGTGCAAGACTGTAGAGGGGACAATTTGACTTCCTTTCCTCTCCAGAAGAGAGAAAAAAAATTCCTTATTTACCCTTCTAAGTTAGCCTAAATATTCTTTACTTTGAAGTCTTGTGCATTCCAGTCATGAATTTCCTTTAAACAAGTAGGCATTTTCCTGGGCGCTGCGTGAACTTCACATTCTAGGGAAAATCTTACCTAATTTAGGCAGGGAATAGGGCACTTTAAAATAATCTTCATAAAATTCAATGAGTCTTCTTGTAATATTTAGGGCATAGTCTCCTGATCCTCTTCGGATTGCATCAGGCCTTGCGTACAATCGTACCTGTTAAAGAACAAAGTGAAAGACTGGTCATTTCAGTGCCTACATAGGAAAGTTAAGCTACCTGCAGAGGTGAAGCATTCTAAGGTTGTTGTGAGGTGGCAGGTTTATTCGCCTATCTCCAAATGTTACTGTCATACATTTGTCAAAACACACTGCAGCTGAAAATCATAACGTAGACAACTAAGGTTAAAAAGTTGAGAAGTCAAAATCTCCTGCTTGTTTATGTTGCCAAATCAAAGAATTAACACCGCTTGCATCAAAATACTTAAAGAAAACACATGTGTTTGCTAGAGATATGATGGTAGAGTGGATTAGTATAATGGTTCTCTGCCTACACTGAATGTAGGCAAGATGCAGTGGCTCAGTAGGAGAGAAGTTCATGGTTTGTTAAAGGCACATTATAGCAAACTGAAAGTATTAGCACTCTGTGAAGAAAAAAAAAAGAACATTCTCCTTTCTTTTCCCTGGCAGGACACAGCTACCCTCGATGAGCCACATAAGACTGCAAAAACAACTATTTATAAGCTCATTCGTGTTCACGAACAATTAACATTCCCCAATCTTACACAACTGCTTCAGGTCTCTGCTTTTGGAGTGCACTAAGTTAAAGCTGTTTATACAAGCTGCTGTGTTCAGAACAGAAAAGCTCACACATCTGACTACATTGAGTGCCAAATGTGCTGACCAGCTCATGTTCAATGAACAAGGTAACACAATGCATCATGAGGCTATCCATTATTCCTAGTCTTTCTGTTCTTTAATGCTTCCTTATGACAAAGGCAACATACAGCTTATGACAACTGTTAACCACAAAGGCTCAGAAAGGAGGGCCTCTTTCAATACTCCTCCCTCACACACAGCCTGACGGTCTCAGCAAGAATGGGGAGAAGCGTGCTCTGTCTGTGGTGGCTGGGGCAGAAGGCTTCTCCCTGCAGCTCATAATGACCAGTCAAAAATGATTCTCTATAAAACGACAGTTCTAATAATAATACAAGTCTCTATTACTTCCCATGGCAGGATTAAATCCCACCCAGGAATCCAAGGAAAGCAGCAGGGCAGAAATCAGAAAATACCAGTGCAAACATGAAGTGGAAATATCAGTTTTGAAATATTTCTAAATGCTCTATTCTGGACCAAGAAAAACCCATGGGATTTTCAGCTTCAGTGAAAGCATTGCTAAACAGTGCTTTACTGCTCATTTTCTGAACCAATATTCAGTTAGCCAAGTAGAAATCAGATGTCAAACCTCAATTCTGCTTTAATCCATTCTCTCTTTCTAGGGGGTAGTTAGCAGCAAAGAATGATGACTGAATATCTCCATCATTATATCTTTGTATCCCATTACAGAGCCAGTGCACAATCAGCCATACGTAGTTAGGATTTGTAAGGTAAAATGGATAACACTGTGTAACTTAATGAGACATGTAATAATGCAGAGTTCTCATAATCACCACCTGAAAGCACATAAAACATCACCAGAACTCCTCCAAGTCACTACTTCCATTTATTGCTTCCTTCCAAACTTTACAGTGGCTTTATTTTAGACATTTTCTGTCTGCCAAATTAAGCATATTTCCTAAAACCAGAGATTAACCACAGTTACAAATTAAAACTTCTTGAAACCTTTAGTTTATGAAAAGATGGTAAGAACTGCAATTAGATTTGTGATGAACACTGCCATGTATCATTAAACCTTTACACACAATTTTGCATAATTGTTTTACTGGCACAGTTGACTGTATCAGTGTATTAGAAAAAGACGACTTGGTCAACCAAGTATGCAAAAATCATTCAGTTTGACAGTGGCCAAATATGTCTGTTATGAAAAATAGGACAACAGAAGGGACTCAAATAAGGACATAGAAGAAAAATCAAAGTTCACCATACTGTATTACGTGTGCCTTCTGGCAAACACAGGAAAGGTATTTAAAAGATGTTTAAGATTGGAGCCAGGTACCAAAACTCAAACAACACAATGCTGCAATCTATCTACTTAATGTTGAGCACAGTTTTATTTTTCCAGTACACTTTCCCTGGTGCCTCTCTGCCTGCCTTGCACAGCTCCAGACTGACAGTGCTGCACTGCTGAACACAGAGATCACACCTAAGCTTGAACACAGTTCAGAAATTATCTGTGTCTTTGCCCAGGTCTCTCATGGGCATTCCCAAGGCATGCCAGCAATCTTCAAACACCAGAACAGCTCCACACAAAATGCAGTTAATGTTGATACCTCCCTGCACAACACATCTTCTTTGGCTGCTTCACAGGATAGTTATTAGTTTGTTTGCCTAAAACCAGGAAAGGTCTTTTAGATTTTAACTTCTCTCATTTTCTTAAAAAAAAAAAAAAAAATTCAATATTGCATATTCCAAAAATGTACCTTCTTTATGGGCATTTCTGAATAACAGTGGTTGCATAATGGTGTAGTCTTCATCTAACACATCTGATGGATGACACTACCCAGAAAATAATTCAAAATTATGTCCAGAAAGGGTGTGAAAGAAAATGAAGGGAGTGAAAAGTAACCAGGCAGTGGGGATATTCATGCCAGAAGGGCACTCACTCTACCAGGAGCTGCCTTCCACCTGAACAGCCTCAGAACATAATATGCATGAAGGAACCCTAGACTCAGAAAATTACCCCTGGGTTAGCAGAGGGAATACAGACATTCTGGAGCATTAAGTGACACAGACTGTAGAGTGTTCAGACAGTGCTCTAACAAGAAGTGTCAGCAGATAAAACAGGATGAAGATTGAGACACGAGATTTGTGTTTAGCATATTTTTTTGTTTGTTTGTTTACTGCTTTCACTTCAGAAGGCAGATAAGCTGCATTACTTTATAAGTATGTTGGACTGAACAACAATGCATAATTATTACATATTTTCCCACAAGCTGTTTGATCATTATGCTAAGAATTTGATTTTACATTAATTTAAATAATAAACATGAAGAATTTTTTCTGCAGGGTCAGACCTAAATACAAATAAAAATAGTATGTGTCCTGCTAGGAAAGATAAAGAGGCCTCTGGACTAGTTGCAGAATTCATCAAATACTGCAATGGCACAAGTAAGAAAGAGTATAAGGACTATTCAAAAAGAAAGGATTCATAGCATTGATATTCACTTAAAAATAATGTTATTTTCTGATTTCTTCAGCTTTCTTCCATATTTTTGCTCCATTAACCAGATCTCACACACATTCCTACACACGTAAATCTGAACACCCTTTAGAACTTGATACAAAGTCGTCTAATAATCCATTTTACAACTTGAGCTAGTGCTTTGGATGCATGCTCTATTTTTCCTACCAAAGAGTACATGTTCACTCTGTGAGTCGAGAGAGAAAGGTGCCCTAGAAGACTTGCAAAGCTTCTTCCACAGTACGAGTGGTTACCTAAACAAATAAAGTCTCTTGAATGCTTCAGAGGCATCCTTTTATCTTCCTAGCCTATAATACAAACTTAATCACTCCCTTTAGAAGCCCATTTTGGTAGAGACCTAAGACAAAGATACAAATTAGCTGCCTGTGTCAAATGTACTCGCATCCAGTTCATGACCTTGTCTTCCATCAAAATCAGTATAATTACTTGCTTATATCTGGCTGTGTATCATAATGAATGTTTACACAGTGGTACAAGATCAGTGCTCACAGTTTTCTGGAGCTTGGAACTGTATGGGCAATGTTAGAAATAATTCTTCATGCCATTAATAACTACAAAACATAACTACAGAAAGCTACAGCCGCCAAGTTAAGGATTTAAACAAGTTTATAAAGGTTCATCATAAGACAACCCACACAACTCGTATCCTCTTGCATACCTGTGCAGTCCTTGATTACATCATCGCATGATGTCTTTTACTACATGACATTTGGCTCTTTCAACAATAGACAGTTATTTGATTTTCTTTATTAGCCTTTTTATATGGTAACCTCTGAGTATGCTACAGCCTTGAAAATATTACTGAAGCTCTTTTCCACAAGCTTTGCAAGATTAAGTGATATTATTACTTTCATGTAAGAAAGTGGAGAACAAAGGAAGACAGAGTTATTCTGGGTACCTGCCTTGACACCTCACCATGTCAAGTATACTTCACATTTTTATTGCACACACTCAAAGCACTGTTCTCATTACATCTTACTGCAGTAGTGAACCCTACACAGCCTTGAGTTTGGTCACGGATGTCTTAGTTCAGGTATTAAGAGAATTAATAACACATGACTGGTGACTAAATGAGACTGTGTCAGTTTATATAACTTGCTCAGAGGCAGAGACAGTGAGGAAATTCAAAGAAGGTACTCAGCCTCACAACCACCTAAAAGCCTTCACCAACCTCCTTCCAAGGGTGGTGAAGAGCGAGGTGGGGACCATTGATGCAACAGGCATATTCACTACACAGTGGTGCTGTCCTGATGCTGCATTGCTCCTCTTGTGTCTGAATGAGGTAAACACAGGAAAGATTTTATGGGGGATCATCCTAGCAATTACCACAATATTGTGAGTACATGGACAAACCAAAGTTCGTACAAAGTAAATTCTGCTTTTTCTTAGCTCCTCTCCCCCTTTATTTGACACCATTAGCAATTTTCTAACTGAACTTGACTATTATGAAAAAAAATCCAACCCCCTTATAAATCTCTTAAATGGAACCACCCCTTCCTAACACTAGTTTGAATAACTAGATTTGCATCCTCAGCCCTATGCACCTTCTGGCATTTATTTGTTGTTGTTTTTAAGCAGCACAGCCCCAGATGGAAGACGTGACACATTTTCACTTTTGTGAATAGCAGAGCAAGTAGTTAAGAGTTTATAAATGAAATTGCTGCACCGCACATTTTCTCCTACTTTTCTAGCATAAGCAAAACAACACTGCTTTCCCTAGTTTCCTTTCCAGCAGCTCTGGGCTAATTTCATTAGAACTTTAGATAATGACAATACAACAGCCACAATCAGATACCACCATGGAAAAGTCATCCTTGAAGATTATTTCTAAAACATC